TAGAAGTATGCATCATGCAGAGAAGATGGTTTGGGGAATATTGTTCAGAGAACATGAAATGGGATGGAAACATGAGGGAAAAGGACTCAGATGGTACTAAGAGCATCACCTGCTTCAGGGGACTGATGGAGTAGGAACCTGGGAACAAGTGAGCAGAGTACTGCACCTTTCCAGAAGACTTTATAGCATGTTGAGAGTTTACACTTTAACTAAGTTTGGGATATTCGGATGCCCCCAAACATTCATAAGTCTCTGTGACACCTGAAGGAACACAATAGATTTGTCAATCCTTTGTTTATCCCCCTTCTAAACATGCTCACTGGGAGACTGATTGTCATAGACTCTTTTTGGAGGTGTTCAGCAAGCTTGTTTCCTAGACAGGAGCAAGCTATCTGGTCATCCCAAAACAACATTCTGCTTTGTTGTGGTTTAACCCCAGCCGGCAGCTAAGCACCACACAGCCATTTGCTCATTCCCCCTGGTAGGATGGGGGAGAGAATTGGAAGAATAAAAGTGAGAAAACTCGTGGGTTGAGATAAAGACAGTTTAACAGGTAAAGCAAAAGCCACACACGCAAGCAAAGCAAAACAAGGAATTCATTCACTACTTCCCATCGGCAGGCAGGTATTCAGCCATCTCCCGGAAAGCAGGGCTCCATCACACCTAAGGGTTACTTGGGAAGACAAACGCCATCACTCCTAACGTCGCCCCCTTCCTTCGTCTTCCCCCAGCTTTATATGCTGAGCATGACGTCATATGGTATGGGATATCCCTTTGGTCAGTTGGGGTCAGCTGTCCCGGCTGTGTCCCCTCCCAACTTCTTGTGCACCCCCAGCCTGCTCGCTGGCAGGGTGGTGTGAGAAGCAGGAAAGGCCTTGACTCTATGTAAGCACTGCTCAGCAGTAACGAAAACATCCCTGTATTATTAACACTGTTTTGGTCACAAATCCAAAACATAGCCCCATACTCGCAACTATGGAAAAAAATAACTCCATCCCAGTCAGAACCAGCACATGCTTTTTAACTGACAACTGCATATGTGAATCCACATGTAATACAATATAATAATGCATTTCTTCCTTATTTTCTTCCAAAAGAAAGAAAATTGTCATTTAATGTGGTCGAACGAGCTAGTCTGCCATGAGCTTACGGATAGGGACTCAGTTTATACTGCACAGAAGCGGTCTCGAATGCCTGTGTTTTCTGTCCTTTCCTCCCACACATCTCTAACGTCAGTTGTCCATGCCCTGTTTAGGAATTCAATCATACTGACATGGTATCAGCTGTCACATTTGCACCCTGCAATGCGGAAGGTAACAGGAGGATCACTAAAATATATTGGCTTCTAAATCCGTGACGTATACATCTACCCTTTCCTTGGAAACAAATAGAAATGGTGTAGTCAGCTGCTTTGAACAGAAAACGGAGGGTGACATTGGAAGTAGGGGCTGCAAACATGCACCTCTTACAATCATTCTGGTATCCAAAGATATCTAACAATAATGTGAGCATGCTTATTCTTCTTTAATTGACCTTCTTTATTCTTTAATGGACAGTTTTTACTCTGATCTGTGGATATACCCCTGCAGCACCTCAGTGTTGATGCTATTCTGCAGCAGCTACAGGTTCAGTGTTAGACTTGCTGTCATGGTCTTCAGGATCTGTCGCTGCTATCTTTGGGATGCTTCCAGTTTTTGTTGTTTGACTGTATATTTATCGGTTCGAAAAAGTCTTTAATTTGCTGCATGGCGTTTACTTCTTATTCAGAAAAAAATCCCCTTCCCTTCCTTCTGCAGGTTTAGTGAGTAGCAGATGTACTTTAGCCAGCATAATTTATGATTAGTTAATTTAATCTGCCATAATGACATAAAGTGAGTCTGAAACAAGCTTCTATCAATTTTGCCGTTAGAGGTAACATAATATTTTCAAATGTCTACCAATCTGAGTAATTAACCCTCGGGCTGAGTGAAGAGGTCTAATAGACATCTCTCTCACATTCCTTTGCTTTGACAAAATGAAAACAAAACATGGGAGCCCAAGGGTTAAAAACAGCAAGCAAGAGTTTACAGTACATGAGACTGGTCTTATAAGCAAGGTTCAGAAACACACTTGAGTTGCTGCTGTTTCTTTTTAGGCTGCCAAAAATTCTCTCCAGTGAGGCAACTGATTTGCACTAGAGCTTTGCTGGCAGTGTTGGCACGAAGAGGACAGCTATGTATTAACTATCTATCGCGGAGTTCATTGCTTTTCATCTCTGCTTTGTAGCTTTACAGTAAATGGGTGGCTTTTGTTTAAACGGCAGCTCAGTGCATGAGATCACCATGATTAAAAGTTTTTGAAAGAGCAGATGCACTTTCCAAAATAATAATTAAAAAAAAAGAGTTTATGCAAGATACTAGTTCTGGAACTTTAAGCTGCGTCGTTACTTACTTCATGTTCTGTTTCGTAAATGTAAATGCTGATAGTTGAGGTTGGCAAGAAATACATAAGGCGAGATCTGATAGGTTCTTGTAAAGAGAGCATTAAGCAGATGTCAATGTTCTGTTAACAAACACATTAAAGAATATTAAATCTGGAAAGCAGTACTGTTTCCTGCGGCCTACCATGTAGGCCTACACATTTCAAAAGCCCCAATAACATTTGCTTTTAATAAAGATAAATAAACTCTATTGAGAGAAAATCATAACTTAAGGACAGTGTTGTGGTAGAAGCTGAGCAGGTACAACCAAAGCAGGGTATGCAGAATGCCACAGAAACCCATCTGTCATGAAACAATGCAGGGACATGGTTATGGGCAGAACTTGATCTTACAGAGCAGAGAAACATGCAAGGAAAGACCTGACATAGTGCTGGCTTAATGTGTTTGATTAAAGGCAAGATGCTTTCAAAACATGAGAGACTATGCTGAGGATGAAGCAAACACTGGTGATTGGGGTGAGATTGCACTTGATGGGCCTTTGGCAACATAATCTTGCCAGTCATTAATTCAAATGCCATGGAAAAGTACCAACAGCTCTAGGATTTTCAGCTGTTTCTGAACTGAGACAATAAAAGTGATTACTCAGTTTTATGCGGGCTCTCTCAGAAGAAATCATTAGTGGGGCAATTGTAAGGATCAATACTGCCCCAGAAGTCAAGCACATCTTTCCTGCTTGGCCGTCTTCTTCCTGCAACTTGGTTGGTGTTCTTAACTAAAAGTAATTTGTTCACAGCCTCCACCTCTCTCTACAGAATTCAGCGCTCTGTGCTGGGCGTAACACCTTGCAGGACTTGGTCATTACAACTGTAATAATCAGGTTTGATCCATGACCTCAATGTGAATTACTTAAGAGTCTCTGAAAGTAAAATGCAAGTTTTGCTCTTCACTACCAGCAGCTGAGTTATAGTAGTAAGAAATGAGCTATTTGTGGTAGGTAGGTAGTAATAAAATGTTGCCTTTCATCAAGAGATTTACCTTTTGGTTAAACAAAGGTTAATGTCTCTGGGCATTGGACCTAATATTCTTACAGGGTCAATATCATCACTGCTCTGACTCTTTGCCAAGTCACAGAGAGATCAATTTATATGATGAAGGAGTGATCAGTTTTTCTTTGGTTAATGGTGGATAACACGTGGGTAAAATTTGGTACTATGTAAGACAATGACAAATCTACACTCCAACCAGGAATTTAATTAGTGGGATCAGGCCTTGATCATATAAAACACATTTGCTTGCATGTTCTACCCCGTTGGATAATACTGTCGTTTATATCCTGATGGTACCTGCAGACCTCCCCTCATCAAAGCTGTAGCCTACTAAGCATTGTACAATCCTATGTGATCGTTCTTCATGAATACGGTACTTGAGTGACTATGTGCACCTAAAAGGAAGGCAGAATTGAAGGTGACCTTTCCTCAGCCAAAACCTGGCTACTCCTTTTTGACTTTTGCCAAGATTTGAAATGACTGTGATGTTCAAATGAGTCATTTTTTTGTTTTACTGAGAATTGCAGGGCAAGAATACAGAAGCTGGCAATGTTTCCTTTACACCATGTCTTAAAAGTGGGTGACTTCATTTTAGGTGAGATACCTTTATGCTGTGCTCATTATTTGAGTGTCAAAGCATCTCTACAGTCTGTTAGTATAATGGTTTCCATTTAATTTATGTGATATAGTAGGAATTATGGGTATCTCCATTTTACAGAACCAGAACAAGGGCACAGATAAACTTTACTCTACACCCATCAGAAGTGCTTAGCACCTGATTTCTTTTTGAAATCTGTTATTAGGCCAAGCTCATAAAATTCATTACATTCCTGCCAGGTAGACTGCTCCTGAACTGGTGAAAAAGCACTTCACTGAAACCTATATTTGAGGGGAAAAACACAAGGTGAACTTCCCAAAGCCTGTGGTATTGGGCTTCTGGCCCTTGGACTTCTGATGTCCTGCCTAGTGAGTGTCCAGGGTCCTCAGATGTGCGTCAGCACCCACCCAGCAGACCCAAAGCCTGACCAAGATGCCATTATGTGTAGCTAGGGGACTTCTTTACCCTGTAGGCTGGCAAACTGGGATTTCTAAGTATCTTTATTCTATCAGGCTTTCTTCTGCTTCCTCAGTGGGAAGCCTGGGAACCCTCCCAATTTCTAAGGTTCCTCCTAATTTCTTCTGGACGCTCAGATATACACACTTTGTTTTTTTTCTTAGAGGCAGGGGTGATGGAAGGGAGAGCATGGAAATGAATGTCAACATAAGCAGAACTGTGGAAAAGGTGTTTTATATGTTTATAAAGGGCCTGTCACTGTGTTGTCACAATACCCTTAACATTGATATAGCTGGTCTTTTAAATTGTAATTCTCATTTGATTGCTTTGTTCAGGAGTTATGTGGATTCTAAGTCAAGTAAATATTTAGATGGAAGTAATGAAAATCTTCTATATTTCTTGTATTTTTCACTAAAAAGGAGTTCACTTAGTTTTTAATATGTTCTTTCATTCTTTAAGATCAGAACAGCAATTAAACAACTAAAGCAATTCTTGGTATTCTATTGAGCTGGAACAATGAATCCTACAGCTACTGTAAATGATGATACTGCATTTGCTGCTGCTTAAGGTAATCTGACTGGTCAGCTGTCTGGCTCATTATCCTAATACAAACTCCAGCAAGGAAGTCTATTTCTATGGTTCAATAAACAGAGGCAATTGGAAAGATTCTTCAAAGAGAATCAGTGATTGCCAAGTCCTGTTGAAGTTTAAGTGACTTCATCAAGTACTGACCACCTGTTAAAAGAAG